AAAAAAAAAAAAAAAAAAAGGCAGCATTACAGAGGACGCCTGAGCAAAAAACAGAGAGCAGAAAAAAATATTCAAGAAAATGAATACTAGTTTGATAAATTCTTAAAATAGCCATTACAACCTATGACAAAAAATAATTTCATTTGCAATTAACAGCTTTATCTCTGTGCTTATTCGTCAAGTCCCCAATAATGTATAAGGATCCAACTCACCGAGACAACACAGTCCACAACAGGTTTCTTAAGAACACTTTCTGCCGTCTCCTTCAGTTTGGACAAAAGCATGGCAGTCACTTGCTCTGTGGTAAAGTTTCGCTCTTCCTCCATGTATTTCACCTGCAATAAAACAACAAAAAGATCTAGGACTTATGTTTCTTCAAGCCCTAAAAGCCTAAAATGAGCAATGTCTAACATCAAGACATTGATGTTATTATCTCAAGATAATAACATTATCTCAAGAATATTATCTCAAGAAGCAACTGAAGAAAGCTAGCTAGGAAAGCAAAAATAACTTGGAAGGTCATTTTAGCTTTTTAACATGCTTGTCAAAAATGATACCTGGAGATGAGGACCACTGTATAAACAATATGTGGTGACCACCAACAAAACCTGAGACGATCAGCTGTGCAGAAGCAAACCGATGTAGCTCACCAAGACTCACACTGTCCCTCCACAAAGGGGTCTGGAAACTATTTTACCACCGGGCATACTACGTATGCTTTACTGTGGTTATTTGTGTTGACTATTACCACCTCCCCAGTTAGAATCCAATCTTACCTGAGAGGATGGTTTTTGTCAAATCTGTTCACTGTCATAGCCCCAGCACCTAAGACCTGACTCAATACATACCTCTTGAATTAGAGTAAATGATGAACAAAGCCTCAAGATAACCTACCCTGGATAAAACTATCCAACTCTGACAGGAGTTCCAAACTTTAAATGTTGAAAGACTGCCTATGATAAGCGCCACTGCACATAACCATAATTTCAAGCTACAAACCGTACCAGAAACACCATTCTCTTCTTTTAGCTGCTGCTCCAGCTCAGGTTAGACACCACCTTCTCCTTGCCGCCTCATCCCCCAATGCAACCGTCATTTATTCTGGTTTGGAATCTCACTGGGTTTTCACTTCATTGTGTAAGGAGGATGGGAAAATACCTGTCTCCATCAGCCTCCTTCTAAGCTAGTTCTTCTTCCCTATTTGCTTAGCCCTTAGTCAATTCCTCCACTCACATACCCAGATCCACTTGTCCCCCAGGTCTTCTCCCTGGTTTCTTTCTCCTTTGGCTCTTAAAATGCTTATGACTAAATCTGACAATATCTGTTCTATTTCTATCTTCCATTTTCTCATCTTCCTTTTTTTTCCCTTTTTCCCTCCCATGCACTCCAAATTTATTACTAGGCCATTCACACTGTTCTAAGATTATTGCCACAGATATCCTAAGTAAACGCAGTGATCATTCTTCAGTTATGAGATCTTCATGTTTAAATTCAAGCGAATTCTCAGGTACAACAGCACAACTGCCTACCTTCTTCTCACAATCCTCATCCTCTCTTGTGTTTTGAGCCTGTTCCCATACTCCTTACTAGTTCTCCAATTAGGGTCTCTCAGTCACTAAATCTCTCTCTAAACTCAGCTGCCTGGAAAGCTCAACCACCCTTCTGGATTCCTCTCTTATTAAAATGCAAAAGAGGCAGAGTTCAGGCTACCAACTCCCAAACCCCTCACCTCTTTTGTAAGATCAGTTCACTGCATGCTTCACAAAGAGACTGTTTCAGATTTCCCAGAGATACAAAAGGCTAAACTCCTCTTTCCCCAAAAGAACACTTCTTTCCATGTAAGTCCTACTTTCATGTATGACCATATTAGCTGGCTAATGATTTCAAAGTGTTCATTTCTTTGCCTGGTCTTCCAGAAGCCATTCATTAAAACACACCAGAAAGACTGCTACATCAGTACACAAGGCAACAGCAATGACAGTTCGCTTCAAATCTTCACTACCCATCTATCCAACCCATATTAACAGGGCCACCTGGGGCTCCAAATCAAAATTCAGATCATTCAAAAAACGCCTAATAGTCTTTACGAGCAAAAAAAGCTTTTCCTAAGCACTTGTACATATTTTCATTACAACTTGAAATCAGAATGGTACTGGTATATACTGAGCTGATAAAATAAAACACTGTTCTTTAATCATAAGGCATTATCTGGAGAACCTTACCTTTATACCCGTTAATCCAGTGGGCAACTGCACAATATCATATGCAAGGTTAGATTTTTCTCCCTCCACAAACGGATCAGAGAATGCTCGGCCATGGAATCTTTTAAATCCTTGAACTGTGTTCTTTGCATTGGAAATTACCTAAGAGAAAGAGTGTCAGAGTCAAAGAGTGGCAAGATAAATAGCAATTAAATTAGGGGGGAAAAAAGAAAATTCCATAGTCTCAGATGAAATTAGCATCATTTTGACTCCACAAAGTTCCCTTCTGAGTTTCAGTTTTCTTCAGCACTAAACCTTTCTGAATAAGGCCTGTTTGTATGTGAAGCAAAAGACGAGGGACTTGTACAGGTCACAGTGGCAGGGCTGGACCAGACTCCAGCTTGTCCTGCTTCTCCATCAAGATAGATCATTACATCTTCAAGTATTTCTGTTCTTAAAGTTCTAATAAACATTTACATAAATGGTTTTTGGCTTTTAAAAATCACCCCTAGTTTATGATTCAAACTTTCCAGGAGTCAATTTTGGCAACTCCAATTTTTCCTTTAAAGGAAAAAAAGATGACACTAAGTACACAAAGATAAATGCTAAAAGAAACTGCAGAGTATAAGGTGTAATAGAGAAAACTGGAAGTAGCCTGGACAGTCAATAACAGGGGAATAGGCAAATAAATTATGATTTATCCAAATAGTAGGTAAGATTGTTTTAGAAGGCTACAAGTTATGAGCTCACTTACAGGGAATGGGGGGGTTGGGGAAGGAGATATATTTATATGCTTACAAAGAGCACAGAAGGTTTTACATTAAGACACTGACAGTAATTTGGAGATCATGGTAGTACAGATAACTTCCAAATTCTTCATACTTTTGTATCTGTACTTTTTAGTTTCTCTAGAATAAACTATTATAATACACGAGGGGGGAAAATGCTGGCAAAGACATTCAAAAAATTCAAGAATGAACTTGTGCTCCTCTTCCCAAAGCAGGAATTAAGTATAACAAGTCCCAAGGAAAAACTGCAGAGCTCCCCTGCATCAGCTGTATCAAAAGGCAGCACAGAAGTCCTTTCATAAAAACATCATGGGGTGCTTCATGCAAGCTGCCAAGCAGAAACTCAGTATCACAATAGAACCTAGAACAGGGAAGCCAGTTTAGCACAGTAACTATTCTCGATAATCAAAGCAAATTTAAAACAGAAGAATTCACTGGAATTTTAGAAGGAAAGACATTTCAAAATAACTACATCCTAAAATATGTTGAACTTTCTTGAAAATGAGATTATAAAACACCCAATTTAATTAAAAATCAAATGGCCAAGCACCACTTTCTCAGGCTGAAATTTTAGGCCCTGTCCAGTTCAGAAAGACAGACAATTTATTCATTCTATATGTTCCTCAAGATTGAACCATAAAAGGTCAAAGATGCAATGCCTTCATTTTACAGCAACCTTGGACACCCACATAACAGAACTCTCAGGATTCTGCTGCTTTGGTTACTCAGAAACCAGCAAATAATGTCACGTTCCTGGTTTACAAAGTAAACTAATAGCAAGTGTGCTTCTACAAGTATACTTTCCTTCTTGAGAACTTTGACTAAGAAGACCAAATCTGGAGACAACAATGACCCAAATATGGGTAAGAGGAAAACACAAGACAGTCTTTTAAGGTGCATTTAATACATCCAGGAACAAGCAAGCCTTGCTTAAACAAGGTCTGAATAAAAGACAGTAGTTTGTAATGAACAGCTTAACTGTTAAGCTATTTTTCCCCCCAACAGTTTAAATTTTGTTTTTAGAAAAATTCAAACATTACTGCAGAAAAGTTAACATATCTAATGTGATGCCATTACATAAAATGAAGAAACTGTGAGGCTGGGGAAGGTTAAGAGACTATTGCGTTTATGCTATTTTAAAAAGCTATTTGCTTCTCTCTCAAACACATGACAATAAGGATCAGTTGAAAACAACTCTTGTCCTTTATATTATAAAAAAAACTCTCAGTTGTACACCTGCAGCCTACCAGTACTAGGCGCACAACAGGCACTCAAGCAGTTACTGAATGGAAAGATGGACAAAAGAGAACAGTCACTTTAGGAAAAAAGAAAACTCTACCTGGCTTTTAGCAGCTGCTCCAATTGAACGATTCTTAGGACCAAAAGAAATGCAAGCCCTAGAAGATAAAGCAAATATTTAAACATCAACTTCACTGCAACATCACATCCAAAACTGTAGCAGGCAAGATTTCTGAGTCTTAGCTAAAAAGCCATATATTTTAACAGTACACAGTAGATGTAGAACTTTGACCTTTCTACTGAGCAAAACTGTCAATGGAATGGCCTGCCTCTTATAATGTAAGTCCTGCCACTTAGATGTTGAAGCACACACTTGTAGCAGTGACCATCTGTCTAGAATACTCCAGAGGTAGACTAGCCAGTCTCCACTATTTCTAATTATTTGAGTACAGTGCTCAAAATACCAATATAAAATAATGTGCCTTCATATCAATACATCAATTATGTTCTTTATTTTTTTAAATGACTCATAACTTCACCAGTCATCTATATTCTATAATAAATGAAAACTGAAAACAACTCTTACACCACTGTATATAAGAAAAAGTAATTTTTCTAGAATTAGCTTCCAAAAACAAAGAATTTCTGACAAGACCTTCATTTCCACTTCTGAACACATTCCTCCAAATCATCAATTCATGCCGACTACATGCTAGTTTGATCTATGTGTTACGTATTTTAGAAAACTAAACTTATTTTAACAAAACTGAAATCTGCTTAAAGGTATAACTTCACAACACTGTGCTTAAGTTTTAAAAGTCAGTTACACTGGACTGATGCTTTTGCTATCATAGACCCCTGGTTTCCATTCTACTTAATTACTGGGAACCTTGCCCCATATTCTCTGTGGGTAAAATTACAGTATTTCCAGAATCTCTCGCCTGACCTTAGAGCATCTCTGCATCAACAGGTGTTTCCAAGGGGTGGAGAGAAGTAGTCCATCTCCACATTAATAGGTAATTACTAGGGCAAGCAGGGCTTATCCGGACCCAAGAGGTTGGGGGGGGGGGTCTTTTCTTCTGCAGCTGGATCTCAAGAGGCACAGAAGCAGAAGTGGGCGACTGCTCGTAAGAAATAAACGGGTTTCTCCCACTTTATTTCACCTTTTGACTGATTTCAGTCGCAAAGGTATTTTCCCCCGGGATTTTTTCCCTGGAGTTACATTCCCTTTACTCTAATGTATTTGTCACAGATATAGTAGCTGCTTTATCTCAAGCTAAAATAAGATCAAATTAAACAGAGAATCCAAAAACTGCTAAGACAAAGCTCTTCCCAGAGTCCATTTCCTCCACAAGTTAGCAAAGTCTTCAGTTCCCCCGACTGATTTTAATAATAATGACTGCATAAATTGCTTATGTATACTGTTTTATTTAATCCTCACACTCTTTTCTTTATTAAGGTATGATTGATATACACTCTTATGAAGGTTTCACATGAAAAAACAATGTGGTTACTACATTTACCCATATTATCAAGCCCCCACCCATACCCCAATGCAGTCACTGTCCATCAGTGCAGCAAGATGGCACAGATTCACTATGTGCCTTCTCTGTGCTACACTGTTCTTCCTATGATCCCCTCCACACCATGTGTACTAAACATTAATACCCCTCAATCCCCTTCTCCCTCCCTCCCCACCTGCCCTCCCACACCACTCCCCTTTGGTAACCACTAGTCCCTTCTTGGAGTCTGTGAGCCTGCTGCCATTTTGTCCCTTTAGTATTGATTCATTGTTATACTCCACAAATGAGGGAAATCATTTGGCATTTGTCTTTCTCCGCCTGGCTAATTTCAGAGCATAATGTCCTCCAGCTCCATCCATGTTGTTGCAAATGGTAGGATTTGTTTCTTTCTTATGGCTGAATAGTATTCCGTTGTGTATATATACCACATCTTCTTTATCCATTCATCTACTGATGGACATTTAGGTTGCTTCCATATCTTGGCTATTGTAAAAAGTGCTGCAATAAACTTAGGGGTGCATATGTCTTTTTGAATCTGAGAACTTTTATTCTTTGGGTAAATTCCAAGGAGTGGGATTCCCGGGTCAAATAGTATTTCTATTTTTAGTTTTTTGAGGAACCTCCATATTGCTTTCCACAATGGTTGAACTAGCTTACATTCCCACCAGCAGCGTAGGAGGGTTCTCATTTCTCTGCATCCTCACCAGCATTTGTTGTTTAGTCTTTTCTATGCTGGCCATCCTTACTGGTGTGAGGTGATATCTCATTGTGGTTTTAATTTGCATTTCCCTGATGATTAGTGATGTGGAGCATCTTTTCATGTGTCTATTGACCATCTGAATTTCTTCTTTGGAGAACTGTCTCTTCATATCCTCTGCCCATTTGTTAATCCAGTTATTTGCTTTTTGAGTGTTGATGCGTGTTAGTTCTTTATATATTTTGGATGTTAACCCCTTGTTGTATATGTCATTTACAAATATATTCTCCCATACTGTAGGATGCCTTTTTGTTCTGTTGACGGTGTCCTTTGCCATACAGAAACTTTTTAGTTTGATGTAGTCCCATGAGTTCATTTTTGCTTTTGTTTCTCTTGCTTGAGGAGATATGTTCAGGAAGAAGTTCCTCACGTTTATATTTAGGAGATGTTTGCTTATATTGTCTTCTAAGAGTTTTATGGTTTCACGCCTTACATTCAAGTCTTTAATCCATTTTGAGTTTACTTTTGTGTATGGGATTAAACAATAATCCAGTTTCATTCTCTTGCATGTAGCTGTCCAGTTTTGCCAACAGCAGCTGTTGAAGAGGCTGTCATTACCCCATTGTATGTCCATTGCTTCTTTATAGTATATTAATTGACCATATATGGTTGGGTTCATATCAGGGCTCTCTAGTCTGTTCCATTGGTGTATGGGTCTGTTCCTGTGCCAGTACCAAATTGTCTTGATTACTGTGGACAAGCACCCTATCTTATTCCCATTTTATAGGGGAGGAAAACTGAGTCTAAAAAAAGTATTAATAAATGTATCCAAGGTCATACAACCTGAAAGCAACGTAGATCCTTTCCCAGAGTTTACACTCTAGCTTTAACACTATCTTCCCTGAACCCCTAGTTCCAAATTTCCAACTTAGCAGGCTAAGAATAAGGACTCTCAAGCCATACTCCCTTGTTCCAAATCTGACATTAGATGACCTATTGAGTAGAACTGTTTTTCTTAAACAAACTTACTAGCCTGTACAACTAGCAAATGCTGGGCCTCTCCAGGTCTCAGTGGCCCTTTCCAACCAATGGGGTAAAAAAACACTCTGTGAGCCAATCTCCCAGAGCACTTACAGGCAGCTGTGCCCTGTATTAATATGGCACAGCCTGACTGACATCTTGTCAGATTTCCTCTGAACCCAAAGCCCAGAACATGCTGGAGGAAGCCCCTCAAGAAGCACAGGTGTCAGGTTCAGCCTTTCTACAAATATACCACCAATCTTTAAAATTAAAAAAAAAATTCCTGAGTACCACTTAAAAGTCTACCACAACCCACATGCCCCCTTAGGAAGATGCCCAAGGCAATCTTACCCACCTTATTTACCTCTCCACTTCAAAAAGGGCTTCTAGCCTAAACTTAATGATTGATAAATCTTTATCTTTCTAAAGGTCACCAAATCTGAATTGCTAAATGTACCCCATCAATACCTCAATCCCCAGATAACCAAAGGCAACTTATTTATCTTCCATTGTTTCCTGCAGCCCTTTTTCCCAACCTTTATCTCCTCAAAACAATCACTGGCTCTAGGAATAAAAAGCATTAGTGTTCCCAACTGTGTATGCCCTGTTGAAGGGCTAATTTTCCATTCTACCTCAATAACAGCAGAGTTGTCTTGCTTTTAATTAATTACTTTCCAAACAAAACCAACAAAGTCCAGATTCCTCAATATGGAACCTAAGGCCTCTCGCCATTCCCACCCCAACCCCATTTTCCAGCTGCGTCTCATGCAGCGACCAACACAAATTAAATGGTCTCCCAATCTCCAAGCTTTGCTCATACCACTTGTAGCACCTGAAATGTCCTGGTCCTCCTAAGTCTCACTTGTTCTCTAGAAACATCATGGACTTTGTCAGTGAAGCCCTCCCAAACCCCTCAAGTAAAAATCGCTTCTACCTCTTAAAACTCTTTAGACAAAGCTTAAAACTTACTGGACTTTGGGCAATGCAGACACAGAACATGTCTATCACTGCAGAATGTTCTATGGTACAGAGCTGCTCTAGGCAATATTCTCCTTGAACTAAGTTAATATTTTTCCTTTAAATCTATATTTTAATAAATGTAATAGGAAATGTTTCATATACCTAGAAAAGCTAAGTGAAAGCTTGCCTCAGTTCAAATTATTCATCCTCTTTTTGGTCTATAAGCACACAGACACGTACATACACACACTACAAACAGTTCCATATTTTTACAAAACAATCAAATGTCACTAGTGGAACATCAATTTTCACTACATAATATAGCAATTACTCCTCAAACAAGGCATAACTCTTGCAAGGTATGGGGAAAGTCCATACTTTTCTTACTGTATCATAGAAGTCCTCAATATAGTTATCACTACAAAGTAATTCTTATGTTCTAAAAAAGCTTTGTAACACTAAGTCAGTTATTGCACTGAAGAAATCCTTGGCTTTTCACTTTCCCATCAACTTGATTGATTTGAACACATGTGCAGTAAAAAGAGTTCATGTTATAAAATCAGACTAGATTCTGAATTGGTCTATGTATCTCCTTTCTGCCTTTCTAGCTGTGACCTGTTGCTTAACCTCTCTGAAATTTCCTCATCTCTAAAATGAGGGAAATTACAGCACTTACTCATATGGTTGCTATAAAGATGAAATTTGTTACTCCATTTTCAAAAGGTTTCGATTAGAGACTGGCCCATCATATATTAGCTGCTATTATAGCTCCAATGAAGCCATGGTCTGAGTTTCATATAAAAGGATATCAACCAAATAAATAGAATAAAAGGCCATTGTGGGTGATGGATATGTTGATTAGCTTGATTGTAGCGATAATTTCACAGTTTTACATATATTAAAACACAAAGTTATACACTTCAAAAAAAACCCAACCAGTTTCTGATAGAAGTTCTGC